CTAACCCTGATGTCAAATAGATACTGATTCACTTTAGGAAATTTTCGGTATTTAAAACCAAATGCCAGGTAATAATGACCTATCGTAAGTATCTATATTAATTGCTTGTTATGATTGGGTACTTTTCGATATTTCTATCTTAATCCCCAAAATTAAATTAAATAATATGCTATTTATAGACGGAGAGCTGGCGCCACAAAAGTAGGGGTGACTCGGTAGTCAAAATTTTTTTATTTACAGTTTCGATTGTTACCAATATAGCGAGAGTCACCCTGGAAGTATAAAGTAAGGGTAGAGGGTTAAACATGCATTTTTTTTTTCGCAAAATAAGTGATAAGGTACAGCTCCGAAAATTTGCAATATTATCGGAGATAGTATAAGAAAATAGGGAAAACATTGTCAGAAGTCTAGGTGGAAGAGAAAAAGTCGCCAGAAGGTGATAAGGTTGCGAAAAATTTAGCAACAATGATGTCACTAGGTACACTTCTGACAATTTGTATTCTTGTTCTATAATTCAAAATAAAATTACTTGCAAATCGTCAGAAGGCTAGGTGGAAGAATAACGGAGATATTAAGGATAGTGAGAGTGCCGGTGGTTCACTGGATTCATCATTTTATCTCGTATTTTATAGTTTATTCCACCCAGTTCGCTTCTGACGATTTATCAACATTATTTTAAAATATCTTAGTACTCCATTGGTCAACTGTCAGAAGTAAATTAGTCAATTATGTTTTTTTTTTATAAATATCGCTCTCAATTACAAATTAAAAAACAAAAATAAAACAAAAAAGATTAAAAAAATATTTTTAAGAATTTTTCCAAATTAATAATTTATCTTTATTATTATTTACTTTTTATTTCTATTAATGTATTTTAATGTGTATTCAACAATGGAGACGATCAATCACAAATCACAAAAGAAAAATAAAACAAATACACGAAGATTAAAAAATTATTTTTAAGAATTTTTCCAAATTAATAATTTATCTTTATTATCATTAACTTTTTATTTCTATTAATGTATAATCAACAATGGAGGTGCTATTGGTCTTACAGATTCCTTGATTCTAATGTTCTGTAAAATCTTTATTTTTGTATGGTACTCCAATGGTACGTTTGTGCTTGACGGAATATCTGAAATTAAGAATCAACATTTTTTAATTGATCCAAGCATTTAATTGCTTATAACAAAAAAAATTGGGTATTTTAACAGTTATTATCCCGTCCACTTAATTTTCTTAACCCTAGTAATATCAGTGTTGTTTTTTTTGTTATTTGGAAAACAATATTTTTATAAGAAAGTGATTTACTTTGACTATTCATTTTGAAAAAATATGTATTACTGGAATAGTTAAATTGAAGAAAAACCTTTAAATTGATGGTATTCTTCATCGATAAATAATGTAGATTAAAACATATATAGATACAGTTTTATTAATTAATTAAATAAATTAGCATTAATATCGGATGAAAAGTGTAGCTGTCAGAAAAATATCATCCTGTAGGTTAGTCGAAATTAGTCAACTTACCTCGGGATTTCCAAGATGATAGGTACTTGTAATCTTTTATTATTTAAGTATCAATCAAATTGTAATACTAAACCCATTTGTTTTTCCTTTGGAAGTATGGATAATCTTATACCCTTAATTTGTACCCATGCTAATTACTTTATTTATTTATGCGCCAGAGCCTATTAAAATACATAGATAAACAAATTATGGTGCTATAATCACACAAATAAATTCATCCTCGAGCAAGTGATTATACATTCCGCGAATATTTATAATTATTTTTATAGATACAAGATTTTCTTAATTTTGTATTTAATTTACACATTACCATTACGGCCATCGTTTTGCTGTAGTGGCTTGTAATTTTTACAGATTAAAATTTTTCTTTAACCAGTATTTTTTAATAAAAATATTAGTTCCTATACTTCTTTAAACAAAAAAAGGTTTCCGATTAATTACAATGTTGAAAATAAATTAGTATGAAGCATACTGTACATTCTTAAAACAGGTAATCTTTTAAAGCTAAGTTAACTTTTTATTCTGTTAATTAATAGAAACAATAAATTGTTTGACAGATGATAAATTCAAAAAAAAATTGACTTTACCGAGTCACCCCCTACTTTTGTGTCGCCAGCTCTTAGACTATTACTTTAAATAGGTATATTTTTATTATTTATAAATACCTTAATGTATATTCTCTTAAATTACCCTCTTCCAAGTGAAACAATCTTACAGTAATCCTATTAGAAATAATAATAATTTTTGTTATTCTTATATTTTTATTTTTAATTATAGTGGAGAAATATACTAAATATATTTATTTATTTATATAAAATCAGAAATGCCTCAAATTCAAATTTATTAAAAAACTAACAATACTTATAATTGTAAAAGAAGCTGTATGAGTTTTTTTGGCTAACGCTATTTTAATAACAGATATTTTCTTCCAGCACGTTTCATTTTTGACAAAAAATGCATTAAATCTTTAAAATTTGTAATATTTTTAAAATATCCTGTGATATAGTATTAATAATAAAATAATATAGCTGTTATTAATTATTCATAACTAGAAAAATAAATGCCGTACATTTTTAAGTAATGGATGTTACATATGGATATTTTTCATTAGATTTTTACTACATTTTAAGGTCATTATCAGAAATATAATATAAAGAATGAAAATTGCAATGTTGTACATATTCGTTGGAAATAGGGATGTATTAAAAATATATAATACTAGCTGTTGCCCGCGGCTTCGCACGCATGGAGTCGTGTTTTTAGTATAAAAAAAATGCATGACTTACTAAAAAAAAGACGCGATAATGATTGCACGCAGTACTCCTTTTTTTTTTATTTATTTTTATATATTTTTATTTATTTATTTTTCCTCCCCTTAAAATGTGAAAATCCAAAAACCATGAAACAAATCATTATTTATTTTTGATCAGTAGCTGTATTTCAAATTTTCATGTTTTTCACTTTAAGGAACAAAAAAATATATACATACTTTCAAACAAATTTTCACCCCCGTTTCCCCCCTTAAAATGTAAAAATGCAAAAACCCTAAAAAAATCCTTATTTATTTATGATGAGAACCTACAATTCCAATTTTCAAGTTCATACCTTTAAAAAAATCGATACTTTCTAATAAACTTTCATCCATGGTTCCCCCCTTAAAATGTGAAAATCCAAAAACCCTGAAACACGTCATTATTAATTTGTACTCAGTACAAACTTTCACCTCCCGTTTTCTCCCCTTAAAATGTGAAAATCCAAAAACCCTGAAACACGTCATTATTTATTTATGCTTAGTAGCATAATTTAAATTTTCATGTTTCTATCTTTAAAGAACAAAAGAGTTTAATTAAAAGCCCCCCCCCCCCATTTTCTCCCTTTAAAGTTAAAATTTCCAAAAATCCTGTTTCCACTTAAGACATGGATTTTATATGCTATTTTTCAAAAACTACGCCAAACTGAATAAGTAATAAGTGCGGTAAAACAAATAAAAAAAATACGTGTGGCACTCGGGGACTGCCGCGGTAAAGCTATTGCATAGCTTTTTTTATCAACTTATACAATTATAATTATTTATTTTATTTAAGCAGTATTTTTTATTCTTTGATATTAATTCAAGTTTTTTCTTTGATATTAATTCAAGTTACACTTTTTGAGCGTGGTGACCGATATGAAAACAAATTTTTTCTTTTATAGAATAAATGAGAAGTTAATATTGTTTAAAATATTTTTATTATCTTACAATACATGTAGGTTATTCAGGAATTTTTATAATTGAAACTATAGGTTTATGGTAACTGAAATAAGAAACATATATAGTGGCAAATAACAATAAAAAAATTAAATTAAAAGAACAAAAGTTATCGAGAGGTTCTTGGCAACTAGTTTTAGATTCTTCTAGTCCTAAGGGAATAGAAACGCCGAGGCTTCTCAAATGCTCGGAAAATTTTCCTGGTTTTGAAAGGGGGAGGAGAGATTAATAATAAGTATTAAAAAATTAAAAAATATATATTTAAAATAAGTACAAAATTGACTAATAGTCTAAAGAATAAATTATTCAAATTGTATTTAGGGAATAAAGCACTATTTGATAATATATCCAAACTTTTAGTAAAAGAACCTATGATTTATGACAACTAGATAAACTTCCTATTGAATTATATAGTTTGGACTTATTAACAATTAAAAATAGAACCGGAAACTTTAACTATATAATAATATAAAATATGTATAAGATAAATATAATAATAGAAACGAAAATGTAAAATTGGCATTTATATGCAAATAAATTAATTATTATCAAACAAAACACTTAAGTTAAAGATATTTACCCATAGTTCACAAATCGTTGCACAAAAACTTTACTTTACACATTACTTTATTTCGGGACATAGCGTCCCGAAAACGGGAGCTCTCGCCTTCCGCAGAGAGTCTGGACCTTAGTCCTTACTCGAAGTCTTCTGTGTCTGTGTATATTTGGATACAATCTTCAAATTTGTCATCTTTCTGTTTTTCCATTTCTTTGTTTTTTCTCTTTCTTTTTATTCTGCTTAGATTTATTCTGTTTTGGGTGCTGTAAATTCTGTTTCTTATTCTCGTCGATTTTCTAATTGTTGGTGGGGGTTGTAGTACTGTAGTTTTCGCTACGACATGAGTAAAGCGTATTGAAAAGTATTCAATAGGCGATACTGTATATCTAATATAAATTAATTTTCGGGTTTAGGAAATATTCGTCGCACAAAACAAGTTTTATGCGGTTTTTTAGCATTATCCACGCTCGAGTATTAAACAAAACATAGGAACACCAAAAACCATTCTGTAGAAATTCAAATTTTTCATATATATATCTGTATACGATCGTACGCTCTTCACTAAAATTATTCCACATTCCACTCTACCCGAGTCGCTTCTAATGAATCATGTAGAAAGGATAATTCATAGAATATATAAAGTTTGTTTTTTATTTATTTTAGGAACGATCGAACTCAACGCATACTTGACCAAATACAACATAACCATAGATAAAAAGTTGCAAAATTTGCTTGGTACGCATACGAGGAAATCGTGGCAGCGATTCGTTCACACCGAAAACGAATATCTCATAAACGATCACTCGCTAAATCTCCTAGAAAATTTGCTAAAGATCGATCACACTGAACGGATAACAGCCAGAGAGGCGCTCAATCACAAATATTTCGCGCCCGTAAGGCGAAAAATCCAGAACAAATCATCACCAGTGTTGCCCAATCACTCATCGTTGCTAGAAGAAACGAAGTAAAGGCGATTGTTTTTTTTTTTTTCGAGGTCTTAAGACTGATATGCTATTAGTAATTGACAGTTTCCAAAATCCAAATACATTTATCTAGTTAGTTATGTAAAACATTATTGATCTTTACTGTTATAAAAGACATTCATTTCAACCAATTTCGATTGTGCTCGTTTCTCTTTTTGACAGAGAGCTGGCGACGCAAAAGTAGGGGTGACTCGGTAAAGTCAAAATTTTGTTATTTACAATTTCTATTGTTACCAACATAGCGAGAGGCGGGCAGTCAAAAGTCACCCTGGAAGTATATAGTAAGGGTAGGGGGTTAAACATGCAATTTTTTTTTCGCAAAATAAGTGATAAGGTACAGCTCTGAAAATTTGCAGTATTATCGGAGATAGTATAAGAAAGTAGGGAAAAAATTGTCAGAAGTCTAGATGAAAGAGAAAAAGTCGCCAGAAGGCGCTCATGTTGCGAAAAATTTAGCAACAATGATGTCACTAGGTACACTTCTGACAATTTGTATTCTTATCCTGTAATTCAAAATAAAATTACTTGCAATTGTCAGAAGACTAGGTGGAAGAATAACGGAGATATTAGCGATAGTGAGAGCGCCGGTGCTCCACTCCGGTGCCGGTAAACTGCAGTCTAAATTTTTACAAATGCCGAATTGCAGTCTAAAGTTTTAGGTTACCGACCAGGTGCAAAAACAGACTAATTGCAGTCCAAATAAAGGTACAATTTTAAGTATGCATAGGCATCCCTTAAAAATTTAAAATGTATTTTAAATTAAAAATCCTTTTTAAAATATGGAGATTACTGGTAATCAGGTCAAATGGCTAAATTAACACAGGAATTAAGATTTATTATTAATATTTTCTTAAGTGGGTAAACTAGGTATATAATTTTTAAGCCACCCAAATTATCCCTTAAACTACTTTGTAGACTTTCTTTTATTAAGAATTTTTGGCTAATATAATGAGTTTTATATTTTTTGAATTTGCATATAGCTCGAAAATGTAGATAATGTTATTAGTATTTGCTATTCTTTCGCCTGTGAAGTTTAATAAAGTTCAGTTATTTTGATAAAGTTGTCAAGAGATGGAGATTACGGAAAGTATCAGTGAAAGGGGCCAAAAATTATTAATAGTCGAACAATGTTATGATGGTGGGTGAGGTTTTCCGGGTTTTCCTCACCTGTAAGTCAAATGGCACCATCAATCATCTTTAAGTCGCCCCGGAGCGCCACGGCAAATAATAATAATAGCCGTCCCTTTCCCCGGACAAGCTCAGCTTTTGGGGTTAAAATTCACTCGTAAGGGGGTGAATTAGGGAGAGTATTATTATTATTATTATTATTATTATTATTATTATGTAAGTTCTATTTATATAAAGTGCTCAAAAAAACTAAGGTGGAATGTTGGAGCTGCACAAAAAGAGGTTGCAATACGAAATGTTTTAAAAACATTAAGTGCAAATGATCTTGCTCTTATTGGAAAAAATGCAAACAACGCTCGACGAAAAATAGTGCCAAAGCTCTCTAAAACAAGGTGAGCCTTACAAGAATCTTTAAACCAAATGGAAGTGAAAACGATTATTGGTGAGAATTTTTTATTGGTTATTGATATGCTTCAAGAAATTGTAATTTTTTCGTGCTTTCAAAACTCGTCATTTTTATGTGAACATCAAGAATATATTTATATGGATGGAACATTTGAAAACTTTGCCAAACATTTTTTACAACTGTTTACCATACACTGTTATGTGAGCGGAAACTATGTACCTGTTGCATTCAGTTTATTAAAGAACAAAACAATATTTTATACAAATTTATTTAGGTTAGTAAAAAGTAAATGTTTAGAATTAGGTTTTCACTTAAAACCAAAATATATTGTAGATTTCGAACCAGCTATTCATAACAGTGTTAAAGAAGTTTTCCCTAGTAGCAATATAATAGGATGTCGGTTTCATTTAACACAAAGTTGGTGGAGAAAAATTCAATATCTGGGGTTATCGAATGACTACAGTAACAATGATTCCGAAATTGGAAAATGGATTCACTATATTTTTGGTTTAGTTTATTTGTCTCCTGAGGAAGTTGGGGATGCTTTTGTGGACTTAATATCAATAATGCCCGTAAGCATAAAATTTACCAATTTGGCCGATTATTTGGTCAATACATACATATCTGAGGATACAACATTTCCACCTCAAATTTGTGCTGCTTTAACATCTTCAACTTCCCGAACTACCAATAATTGTGAAGCATTTCACTCTATATTTAAAAAGTATTGTGAAACAAACAGATACATATGCTAAAATCTTAGATAAAAGAGACCAGAGATATAACATACACCGGTTTTAAACCTGCGCAAATGTTGCCAATTTCTAAAGAAGGGTTAACGGAGTGGGGGAACTGGGCGGCGACACGCGGCGACCCGAACTCTGTGACAGGGACCGGACTTTGTTTATTAGCAACTTAATGAACTATTAGGTTTATTTAAAAGGTGTTTAATCGAATTTTGTATTATGAAATCAAATTATCGTGATTTTTTAATATCAAACAGATGCCACGACATTTTATGTAAAGAGAAGACCTTTTATAGAATATTTCGTTAGCGTTTATTTACTACGGACTTTTCTGCAAGAGATTACAGTAAAATGTTGAAATAGAATATATTGTTAATAGAGCAAAAAATGTTACTCATTGTCTACGAGTATTATAAAAATAGCATGTGCGCAGGCTAATACTGCAAATCTACCCTTATGAGTTGAACATTATATTTTTTCTACGGCTATTACATATTATTAAAAATTAGTCAAAATGAGAAAATGCTGTTTTGTATTGTAACCTCAGAAAAAGTATATTAAGGCTTCTTTCTTTAAGAATATTATTTATTATAAAGGATGAGTCACATAAAACTCTAGAAATGCATATGTCTGAAACCAGATAAGATTTTAAAATTTAAATCTATTAAAAGTCATTTGGTCGCTAGGGATGAGTGATTATCGAAATAAATTATCGATAATTGAAAATAATCGATTATTTTCGATCAATAGATTATTTTCAAACAATATATTTTTTGTCATTTCCTTTAAAATCGACTACTTGATAATCTTTGAAAAATCGAAAATAATCGATTAATCAAAAATAATCAATTAATTAAAAAGTCGATTAACTGATAAATCGATTTAAAAAAAAAACAGAATGATCGATTATTTTAAATAATTGATTATTTTCGATCAATCGATTATTATCAATAATCTATTTTTATTGTATTTCCTTTAAAATCGTTAATTCGATTATCTTTGATATACCGATAATCGCCTAATCGAAAATAATCAATTAATTAAGAAGCCGATTCTATGATAAATCGATTATTACCAATAATCTATTTTATTGTATTTCAAAAATATTCGATTAATTAAAAAGTCGATTAACTGACAAATTGATTTTCAAAAAAAACAGAATGATCGATTATTTTATTATTTTCGATCAATCGATTATTATCAATAATCTATTTTTATTGTATTTTCTTTAAAATCGATAATTCGGTTATCTTTGAAATACCAAAAATAATCAATAATTCCAAAATAATCGCCTAATCGAAAATAACCAATTAATTAAGAAGCCGATTCTATGATAAATCGATTTTCCAAAAAATAAAACGAATTATCTATTATTTTCTAATAATCCTTTTTTCATATTTCCTTTGAAATTGATTATTCGATTATCGAAAATAATTGATTATTAAAAAGCTGATTATCCAATAAATCGATAATTTTAAAAAAATAACCAAAATATCGATTATGTAAAATAACCGATTATATTCAATCGATTATTTTCATATAATATCTTTGAAAAATCGAAAATATTCAAATAATTAAAAAACCGATTAAGCGATAAATCGATAATTTTGAATAAATGTACTTTTTCTGCATTTCCTTTAAAATCGATTAATACATTATCTTAAAAAAAAAACGAAAATAATTTATTAAAAACAGCGGATAAATCGATTTTCATTAAAAAATATCAGAATTATCGATAAATCGATTATTTTTGTAACCCCTATCGGTCGCTTGCTTTTATCTGAGCATTTAGCTCCAAAATTTAGAGATTCGGATTTTTTTATCCAGTTATCTTTGAAATCGCATTCGCTTGTATAATAAATAAATATTGCTAAATTTTGGATTTTTTTTAGTAAACGAAAATTATGTTCGAGTTGTTTAGGGGTTTGTAATGTAACATTTTATTAACGTGACTAAGGGTTGATTCCACCGTTGTGTTAAACGAAGTTTAAAATGACATTTTTACATTAACACTGTCATTTTAATCTCCGTTTAACACAACGGTGGAATCGGACCTAACTCCTGTAACTTTAGTATTTTTTTTGTTTATACTAGATTACTTTGTTTTAAGACTGAAAATTCAATGTCACTTTCGATTTGACCGCAAATAAGATGAACCTTGAAATTTTAAGTAGGTCATCCTGTATTTCATCTAATATTCTTATAAAAATACCTTATAAAAATACCTTATAAAAATACCTTATAAAAATAAAATTTAGCTAGCAACTATGATTCTTTACCTCTTATTTATCTACCAAAAAGGGCTAAAAACTACCTTTAGAAAACATTCTTATAAAACTACTTTTTAAATACAAAATTTCGTTAGCAATAATGCCTATTTACTATTTATTTAAATTAAATGTTCAAAATTTTACCCTTTTGTAAATTTATGTAAGTAATATGAAATCTGATGCTTAATATTTATTGAAACCCCTTAATGCGGATCTGAAGTATTCAGCCCAGAGAATCATGGCGCTTTATGTCAAAACGTTAATAAATATTTACCGCTGAAAACGAATATATTCATAACAGTAGTACTTGTATTATAAGTACATACAATTTTTCAAGATACATCGTGACATTTTGAACTTGAAATTGAATAACTAGAACACTTTAAATTGCTAAAATACCAACAAATAAATCAAAAAACAGCTGTCAATGGTGATTAAACTCAGGTGGAGGTGTGATCGCTGAATGGAAATCGGAGCAATTCGGGTGGCGTCGTGCAACAATGATTTTCAATTGGTGGGTTACTTTGGCTTAAAATAGACTGCA